AAGCAGATATGGGCCGGGGACGAAAACTCTCCCGCAACTGTCATGGGGCCAGCTCAACGCAGCCGCTCATATGTTGTGCGGACGCCGACGGGTGCACTCCAGCGGATCCGGATGCGCCAGGTGCATCCGGCTCCACCAGGTGCACGGTGGAGGAAGGAGAGGTGTGTGAATGACTCGAAGGAGTAGCGAAACGGCCGCGTCTAACAGTTGGTCACGTTATCTGTTTTTCTACAAGAGGGCGCCACGGGTAGCGCGGGCCATACCGGTCATACGTGAGAGGTCCGTCTGGGTCGGAATGCAAGTGCCTTCGTTGCGCTTCGGTGTTTGGCACAGTTTCTGCAGTCGCTAACTTGGACAGGAAGCCCCATGATTGAGTCTATCGGACCTTACTTCAGCGTTCAATGATGACTTTCAAGAAGAAACCAAACTACAAAAACTTAGGAGGAGGCTAGATGGTTACATTGGTGAGGAACTTGAGTGGGAAGCGGCTTTTGATCATTCTTATGCTTCTTGTGGAGTTGTGGGCTGTTTAGTATATTATGTTGCTGGATACATGAGCCGCAAGCTGCTTAAAAGCACAGAATGTCATGAGTGTAAACGTGGCCTTGTTGTACCCCTCTCACACTGTCAGAAACCTTAGGCGGCCCTTGTTTATTGCAAGACCCTGGGGAAGCTAATTCAACCCACGACTAGCATTTTGGTTCTCCTCCATGCAACGGAGATGGAATTTCAAAAGCATTGTAGAAAAAGGAATGCTTACTAGCAAATAATAGTCAATGAGTAAGACAGCAACCAACTGCCTGTGGTTTCCTTGTCTTAGCCACAAAGATGACAAAATTACTAAGATCTTGCACTATTATGTTGTACTGCGAATGAGGCAGTGTTGCAAACATCAAAAGGAAAAAGAAAACAAGAAAAATCACTTCAGAAAACTCTCAAAGCTTGTGCAACCAAACTGAGTGATGGTTTGTGATGTTTTGTTTAAGATCATTATTTTTTTACAAGTGTAATAAACAGATTTTAATGCCTATAAATGTGTCCGATAGCTAGTCTACAAAAACATGATAATCCTTGAATAATTTGCGGTGACAACACATCGCTGCACAGCATGAACATCGCGGCTTTAATGTTTACGACGTCCTCAGATTTCTGACTTCGAATTTCACCATGAATTCACGCACATAACGTGTTGAACATGCACGTTGCATGGGTATGAAAACTGCAGAGGAGGCTGCAGCAGCATCCGTGTCAATAAGGTCAAAATTATTCCTGAATCTTCCGCAGAGAAATCCTCGTAGCGTCTCACAGAATCGCTCGAACGTGAAACTACCATGCCTTGGCATTGAGCGCTTCGGAGTTTCTAGACCGAGAACGCCATGATAATAACTTCTGCTCAGGCGTTGACAGGCGCGGAGTTAAGTCGAGCACCTGTCCAAAACCAACGTCGTTTCGCACGCGAGACAAGCACCGAAATCGGGTACAGGAGGCAAACACTCGCTGTCGTTTCGTTAGAGTTTAGACCACGACCTCCACGTAATCTGGAAAGTCCTTCAGCTATTCAAAGCGATAAACATTGATCGAAAAATGCACAATTAGGCTACGCCGGAAATGAGGCGCGCACTCCGTTCAGGGCAGAGCGCACGAAAATTTGGCTCGGTATGGCCTGGGGTCGTGCAGCGCCACCTGCTGACGCGCCCATGAACCATGAACCAAGTTTCACCACGCCGACTGAACTCGTTGAGTCACCTCTCCCTCCTACACCATGACCAGGTGCTTCCACCTGATGGTACCCTATTGAAAATCGCTCTGATGGGACTTTAGGATTTTTAAAGGGTGTGAGGGGACTTCTGGAAATTGTGAGTTGTTTGAAGGTGGTACCGATGTTTCCTGGTGGGTTCGCTGGCCCCGTTAGAGGCTCTCTTGAAACGTCTGAAGTTCCCTTTACAATGCCTTGAAATGTCTGAAAGCCGGTCAAGCACTTTTTTTACTGGGGTCGGGAAAACCTTCAGGCTTCTTGAGACGTCTGTGGGCAACGGCTTAGGTGGAGAAAACGCATTTCGCAGAATAAGGACATAGCTGCTTATTGTACGCGTCTGGAAAAAATAAGTATTTGAAGAATGCCTATCGTGTGTGTCTACGGACAGATTTTTATTACTGCTCTTCTATGAAATACGAGTGGGCTCCTAGACACGTCTGTCACTGCCCGGGTGTTCGGTCACCATGGAGGCCACTGAGGACGACCGCCCCATGTAGAGAATTGACGAGCCGCGGGCCGAGTGGTGTTGGCCGAGCGGCGTTTTGAGGCGAACGAAATGCTGTATGCTCGAGGGGAAATCCGTGCAATCACGAATAATAATTTAAAAAAAAAGCCAAGAGCAGTGCGCTTTCCAGAAACAGGAACTCACGCGGGGGCGACTCGTTCCGGGAACCGGTTCCTCCACGGGAAGGGGTCTCCAAAAAGCAACCAACACTGCACCTCTCTCCGCCCGGCGGTGGGGAGAAGGTGCAGGGCTGCCAGGCCAGCGGTTGGCGGGAGAGAGTGGTGTCTGCAAACGGGGGAGGCCACCCGCATGTATAGCCATTTTCTCTCTGCTCATGGGCGGTTCCGTTTAGCCCACGAGCCGCCGTGGATGTTTGGAGCGGACCAATTTCCTCCAGGAAGGTGAGCATGCATGGCTTTGAGGGCTCGCTCCTTGGTCTGTTTTGATCTGTGCAGTTTCTTCCTTGGTCACGCAGGTGAACCATAGTTCGGCGTTGGCCGCCTTCAGCACCGCTCGAGCGCCATCGTGTTCAGCGCATTCAAGGAGATGGTGGCCGGTGTCGGCTTGCCCGCTGCAAAGCCTTGCAGTCGGGGTCAACGTTCCCCCATATGCTGTGCCTGCGCACCGGGATTATGCCACTGTGGGTCCTCAGACATGGATGACGGCCGCTGTCCAGACTTGTTCTTGTGCCTCTTCGTCCGTCCGACTTCAGAAGTATCCAGCGAGCAAAAAATACGCCGAAGACGCCGGCGCGACGTCATTATGGACGAAACCGTGACTGTGCTCGGGATTTCTCAATGGCGGCGGGTGCTGCTTGCGAGTTCGTGGTTCTCGTTAACCGTGCTTACGGAGACTGTGTATGTGTCCATCAAGTGCACCTGCTCGGTTTTATTAGCTGAACTACCGTACATTAGGAATACACCCAGCGGCATTGTGAGCACTTTGAAAGATATTTTTCTGTTATATAAAGAAGTCAGTTGTCCCTATTTGATATGATCTCTTCTGTCTACAGCTCCTTGCGCCGGGTTTGTACAAACGCTGCTTTTTATCGCTTTTTGCGTTATATTATGCATGTAAAACTGTATGGCTGCAATAATTTTTGAATAATGTTTTAAAATGCATTTTTGTCTATGGTTCACAGTTATTTGTGCGTCTAAAGGGTTGATGGGCTAAAGGGTCTGACGGGTTGAAGGTCTGCGGGGCTAAAGGGTTTTTCTATAGGGTATCCTTGAAGGGTTTTTCTGTAGGGTATTTTTTAAGGGTTTTGAAGGACTGTGAGGTCCCATAATTCTTCAAGGCTGACGGTCCCTTTACAAAAATTTTCAATAGGGAAGCACCTGGTGGCGCGTTCCGCAGGGTATCTACCTGGTAAAAGTTCTGGGGAATGCACCACCAGCCCGTCTGGCTCCCCCACGGCTGCACAGAAAGCCATGCCCGTAACAACGCCTGGAGAATCAGCAGCCGTGTCACTCACACGGCATTCCCCGATTTTGATAAAATCGGCACCGACGTTCACTTTTGGAATTTCATCAGCAGATACTAAAAGCGTGACACATTTTACATCCTCCCGTTACTGTTTTGCGTGGGCGATTCCTCAAAATACTTTTCTTGTCTCTGTTGGCGCGCTCGCAAGTGTGTTATATTCGCTGCACTGCTCCGCGGCAGATGTTTTGAAGGCATTGAATGCGCCTGATACATTCTAAACGTGGCCAAACGACGTCAGCTTCTGTGCGGACAAAAATTCATATTCGCAAAAGGCCACCGGTTGTCGATCGCTTCCAACGTGAAATAGCAGAGGGTCAAAAGTTCAGTCTGCGTCCGCCTACACTTCGCCGGGGCCAAGACGGAGGAGAATAAGGCAAATCATTAGCGTTGACATTGGCGGTTCCGATAGAAAACGAGAAATAGAGCGACAAAAAAGCAGAGAAAAGAAGAAAACGAACAGTTTAGGCGTGTTTGTTCTGCTTCGATGATATAAAATCGTTCAAGTACTCGTCAACTTTCCGTTTTACGGTACGGATTGCTAGTGTGTGCCTGCTAGAAACCATGCTAGAAAGTGAAACAAAGTACAGACATGGCACGTCATGTTTTCCTGCTTCCTCGTGCTTAAAATCCATCGCCAGTAACATAAGCTCATGGGAACCACAGATTATTTCTGCGTCTTTGGTCCGAAGTACCGAAGCGACCGTAATACATGGGCCATTTTCCTTTAGATTTCTGTGTGAGCTGCATAGAGCCGGTACTGGGTTTGTAGCAGACACGACACTATTTTTACTACTGTTAGAAAATAATATGGCGTTTTTTGTTTGTTTTTGTGGCAACGGCGTTTTCAATTAGACAAACTTGTTTTTGTGTTTGCGCTAGAACAATAACCGCCGGCCAAATATGTACCTTGTACCTCTTTGAGGACCTAATGTACCTTGTACCTACCTCTTTTTTAAATGTGTACCTTTTTGGGGGTCTAATCATAACTCACGGTTCCAAAAATCTAACCTCACGACAACCTCACGACCATCTAACCTCACCAAAAATCTAACCTCACGAAAATTTGACGTGTCCATTATTAGCCTTTTCAAGATAATAATATAAAAAAAATATCACAAGAGCCAAGCAGGCAGAGTTTCTGCTAAATTTCAAACTGTCTAAACTTCCTGTGTAAACTCCCTTCATGTGCGACGATCATACTCACAAACCCCTTGTTCAACACGCGAACTGGTTATATGTAGAGTACTTGCTTACCTCGGTAGCGTTGGGGAAATCGCCGTCGCATATAGGTTTCTCCCCTTGGCTCTGAGCTAAGAGCTGGGTTGCGAGGAAAAGGGCAGCAATCATTGCGTTTCTCCAGAATCACAAATGGCAGTTTGCGCCTCGGATGATATATATACAGCGTTAAGGTTACTAACAATGAAGGGAGTTCATTGTTGGTAAACTTCTCCGAAGCAAGCGCCAACTGGTCTCCGCCTTAGACAAGAATATATATATAAAAAAAAACTTTTCTTTCGTTTTTTTTTAGCATTCCCATAATATTTTTCCAAGTACAAGGAAATATTCTGCTGAAGCATGTGTTGTTCACTATATCTCACTGAGTGTACATTCCACGTCACACCTTCCGGCAAGTGAAGTGAAGAAAACTATGCAAAACTGAAATGCTCGGGCGTCATGACGGCGGGTGCTACCCTTTGCTTTGTCTATGTATCTCCTTCTTGCACCGCCGGTGTTGCAGCATACGTTTAAGATTTCAGACTTCTGCGGTGAAGGATAGCTGAGCCTTGATTAGGTATAACATAAATATTACAAGAAAACAATACTATTTGAGTCTTTCGTAGCCGCTCTTTGCACGGCCGTTTGTCCGCTGACCACACTGCCACGCGTTCAACATTGAATGTAACTTTGTTTTTTGACGTTTCTAAACGTTTGATGTTGCTTAGGTGTACAGTCATTCTTACTATAGGCTGGCCGAACGGAATGACGGCTGGAGCGATTAAAATTTCGCTTGAGGTGCCGCTGGTGATTAAAGCCAATCGGAGTGAGATCTGAAGCTTCCGCTTCCAATTCACACCCGTGGGTGTCGGGGAAATCGATAAGTCGAGCATTCGCTCATGGGTTCGCTTTTGGTGAAGGTGAGAACCAAAGCAATATTGCCTGCTAATTAAACGCGTTGCTAAAGCTTGCGCGTAATTGACCGATGAGCTTTTTTTGACCGATTAGCAACTTCACAATCGGAGCAACGATTTGGTGAGACCTTTAACCAACATCAAAATAGCGAAGAGGTCTCGCGGTCCCTGATGCGCTTGTCCTTAGTACTACTTCATCCACCGATCAATGTAAGCTTGTGGACGGCAACGGATCAGCTGGAGATTTGAAAACGAAGCGCGAGTCGTCAATATGGAGAGCAAGGAGCAAGTCTTCTGCCTTTTTCCCAATAGCTGCGGTGACGCCAGGACGATGCCGAGCTGTGACGCTTTGATTGAAAGGATAGTGGGTTGTGCTGTGTGCTAGGTGCCTTAAGGTCTACCCGCTATCTTTTTTTTCCTTCAAGCAGCCAATAAGAGCTTGTTATACTGATATCATCGCAACCCCATTGCAAGAAGCAAACTAACTTGCGGTCCGCATAGACCGGTTTCCCTTGGCGTGAAATTCTCTCCACAGTAAATTTATTTACGCCCTCGAAGGTGTTTCTTAGTGTCGGTAACTCACACCCTTACACCTCCAGAAAATGGTTTTTTGAGGAATGTGACGCAACCATTCCATGGGTGTTCTTGCCAGCATTACAATACTAGACTCTCCAAAAGTGTAAATGTGTACGATTGTAACGTGTTCACACATTCAACACACAATGTATTGAGCAGAAAGCCAACTTAACTTTGCTGTATATATGCTGTTAGAGACATTAAATGAAAACCTAAATTGTCTGGACATTTGATTAGCCTTGGGGTATGTTTTTATTTCACACAAAGTTATTAGAAAATAAATCTGGCAGATACAATTAAGACTGCTTACGTGTAGGAATGCGAAATCATTCCTACACGCAGCGCATTCCTACAAGCAGCGCGCCACGTCTTCCTTTTGTACACGGCGCTCCGGCGGTGACATTACGTTTCCCCACTGCGCAGGCGCGGCGAAAAGCGCCGGATTCAGGAAGGATTACTTGACGAGTGGCCTTGGTGGCTGTGCTGTGAGATGGACAACTAACCCATTCGCTTTCGTTATGCAGGTGTTTTCCTCCATCATCGCCCGTGTGCTGCTTCCTGCTGTACTGTCTGCTTTCCGAAGCATCACGTCAAAATGTCTGCCTGCGTGCTATGGACGTGATACCGGTGATTGACATATGTCCTCTCACTGCATGACGGCACGTGTGTGAACGCCTTTGATTTGAAACTACACCCTCGACCCAGCACGAAGAGCGCCATCGTCATCGACGTACCCAGCCATGTCAAGTATAAATCTGCGACAGCTTCCCGCGCGGCTCTGTGGGCTCGGTGACTGTGCTTCAGCAGGCTCAACTAACACATTCGCTTTCGCTATGCAGGCTAGTAAGCCGCATGTTATTCTATCTAAAAAAATCAAGTTCTTGCTTTCTCGTACAGCTGCCCAGCTCGCAGTGTTGTGTTTCTATTGCCGCTGAGCGTGTTGAAGTCATGCATTCCTTGTTGGTGGTGTTGCTGTCCGGAGACGTAGAGACCAACACGAGACTTACCAAAGCTGTACTTGCTGAATTAAAAACGCTGTCTGTCGGGCAAGCTCAGATAATTTCCAACGTTCAAGACTTCACAAACCGGCTGCAAGCAACGGACAGAAATATAGCCAACCTGAAGGAGCGAATGGCCAAACTAGAGATTCATTAAAAAAATTGAAACCTTGCAACCTGACCTCGAGACGGCATGCACTGATACCGCTCAAACAGCCCGTGTGACCTCAGAGATGAACGCCCGATTGGACGATGCTGAAATCTGCTCACTAAGAAATAACTTAATGTTTAACGGTGTTCCTGATCCCGTCCCACATGTGACTTCTGTTCAGTCCGAAGAAAGGGTGATTCACTTATGCTCTGATCACCTCCACGTGACCCTTGAACTTAGAGATGTAGAGCAAGCTCCGCGTCTCGGCCATCACACAGACGGATGCTGTCGCCCATTAATTATGAAACGAATCTTTTCTTAAGACCAAGGAGGCTATTTATTCGAACAGCCGTAAGTTAAATGGCACCGCCTTAAGCATTGGCGAAGATTTCTCGCGTCCCGTCCAAAACGCCCGGAAGCACTTAGTTATATTTGCTAAAACAAGCCAGTCCCATTCTCACTACGCTACAAAGCACTATTCATTGGCAAGCAACATTATATATTTGACGAGTTGTCAGAAGCTGTAAAAGAAATCGCATAACTATCACCAATCTATCGGAGAGAAATGAACAGACCTTAATCCAGTCCAGGGTGTCGCGTGGTCCAGGGTGTCGCGGAAGTCCTCGACGCGGTACGGACGGCCACGAACATCAGCATGAAGAAACGCGGTGTTTAGCACCGTAGGCCCAGTTGGCAGGGGAGGCAAAATTATCTTGTATTCCTGACTTGCAGGATCGTTCCTGTCACCGCGGCCTGGCGGGGCCGTTATCGCCGCTCCGACGAAGCTCATGATTCGCCGTCCGTACCCAACGAGTGCCGGAAGAAGAATGCCGCAACTGATGCAAGTGTCCCTGTCGTACTTAGACGTCGGAAGCAATTGTCGGAAGTGCGAGGACTCGCCGCTTTTTTACGGCGTCAAGTTCAGATAATAGTTGGTGACAGTTCCAAAAGAGGGAGCTTGAAATGTACTCGCGCGTAAGATGCACACGTGGGAAAGTGTGAGTACACGCCGCTGGATGTCACAATGTCCAGTTAGGAGCAATTGGTGATATCACCACAAGGTGTCGCTTAAGATACTCTCGATTAAAAACGTCTACTCTGGCTTAACATAACAAAATAGTAATAATAAGGTTTAGACGTTTCGCCACCTATGCCCAGGTGGCATCTTCAGTACATACTAACACAACTGAGGCGGGCAGTCAACCGGTTATTTTCCCCCTCCCTTTTCCCTGAAACCGGTCGGGACTACCCCCGGCCCCCCTCGGCCTCTGCAAAACCGGTCGGGACCCGCCCAAACGGAGGAACGGGGGAAACCAGAAGATCGGGGCTGGAATTCTCCCGCTCCCCGGCCCTCGACCCGCCCCCCCCCCCACTCCTCTCGAACTCGCCGGGAGATTCGCCCGCGGCATCAGCCGCACCGTACGGTCTCTGTAACACGAAGTCTTCTTATCACAAATGTCCCCGTAAAAGTCCGACAGGAAGCCAAGGTTAGTGTTGCAAACAAATAGGTCACGACAAATGAACGATGATTCAAGCAACTTCCTTGAGCCCCACCGCTGGTCTCGACCCAACGGCGCCGCAATGTCCAGGTCAAACGTGTACCCCGTCGTCCAACAATGGTCGACAAGTTGTCTTTCATTGTGTCGCGTGCGTGGTCCTGGCCACGTCTCTTCTGTGTTCCTTCAGTCTGGTAGTCCTCTTCCTTCCTGTCTCGCCAATGTACGTACGTACCATCACAATCGCCGCACTTCACTTTGTACACCACCCCACTCTGGACGTCCGCAGGGTGCGGTCCATGGCTTCGGTAACACATTCTCCAGAGTGTAATGAGGTTTAAGCAAAGTTTGTATGCTCAACGGACGTAAAGCTCTCCTTACTGCGTCGCGTACATATGGGATCGACACAACCGATGAGTTATTTTCCCGTGAGACACTCTCCCTACCCCTGTGCATGCGCTTCAGAGTATCGGCAATAAACGGCTTTGGATAGCTGCGTTCATTTAAAGTGTTACTACGTTGTTTTGTTCCTGCTTCCGGAGGCTCTCGTTTGAGGACACTGCATCACAAAGACAAAAAACGCTCTCACCACAGACCTCTCATGTATCGTTGAATGGTCGGAATTGTGGGGCGAAAAATTACCAGTGTCGCAAGGCTTGCGGTACACTGCCGTCTCTATACTGCCGACACCACCCGGCACTCGAGTATGTCTAAAAAAGGCAAAACACAATCTTTCTCTGCCTCATAAGTAAATTGAATGGCGTGGTGAACTCTGTTCAGCGCCGCGTGGAGGTCATGCAGGTTGGCCCTTTTCAAAATAACAAACGTGAGGTCCACGTCCCTACAATATGCCTTAACAGGGAAAGGTAGTGCGCTCACAACCTGTGTTTCAACATTCTCCATAGCCAAGATTGCCACGGGCACAGAAACGGGACTTACCATGGGACACCCTTGAATTTGATATTAAATAACGTTGGCATAACTGAAGTAGGCTTCG